TACTTTTCGAAGTGGGTTGAAGCTGCCGCCTACTCCAATATAACTCAAGTTCAAGTCCGCCAGTTCATTTGAAAAGAAATCATTTGTAGGCACGGTTTGCCGTACGAGATAGTGACCAACAATGGGCCTCAATTTATTTCTGAGCAGTTCGAAACTTTTTGCGCGGAATGGCAAATCCGCCTTAGTCGATCAACACCTCGCTATCCGCAAGGGAGTGGTCAGGCCGAGGCAATGAATAAAACGATCATCTCAAACCTCAAGAAAAAGCTAAGTGAATACAAGGGAGCTTGGTTCGGAGAGTTGCAAAATGTATTGTGGGCAATCCGCACAACTCCCAGAAGAGCTACCGGTGAAACTCCTTTTGCTCTCGTTCACGGAATGGAAGTAGTTATCCCAGCTGAAATCAAAGTCCCGAGTACAAGAAGGATCTGAAATCACCCGAATGAAGGTGCGAACAACGAAATGATGGTCGACGTGATTGATACTATCGATGAACAACAAAACCATGCGTTAGTTCGGATGCATATCATAACGCCGCAACTCGATACTACAATACAAACGTCCAGAGCAGATCATTCGAGATCGAAACTTTGGTTCTACGCCAGATCCAGCAAAACACAGCGGAAAAAGGGGTCAGAAAATTAGGGATCAACTAGGAAGGTCCTTACAAAATCACTCACATAGTTCGCAACGGGGTCTATCGTCTCATAAACATGGAAGGCAAAACAATTCGCAGAGCGTAGAATGCCGCTCACCTCAAACGTTTTTACATTTAATGCACTTTTGTAATTTGAACTACGTAAGAGTTGATCCCTACCTTTGGGTACGTAGGCAGCCTGCACTTTGGGTTCAGTCTCTATAATATTCAAATAAATAAAACTGAGTTTTTCTTGTATACACAATCTTTTACTCTTCCGAGCTGCTTTGGGCTGATTTTCATAATCTTGCCTTCGCTTTGGAAATACAGGATACAATCATTCTTGCATGCATGAATGACATCATATCCAAACCCAAAAATCTTCAGGAATTTCTTCATCGCATCAGTAGACTGTGGCAGGACATTCTCTTTAGGAAGCATGTCATGGACTAACGTCAACAATTGAGCAAAGTAGTTTTCTGACATTCCACTCTTCACCTTGATGCGGTATAGACCCATTATTGCAGAAACCTTGGTGTAATTAGAGCACGTCGAGTACAATGGAGTTTCAGCATCTTTCAGTTTCTACCTAAACTCAGAGTCTTCTGCAGTTTCACCATCCAAATTCTCTCCTCCAAAGTTGTCTAATGGATGTGTACCTTCACCACTACAATAAGCCGTCCTTAGCAAATCATAAGCCTCAGATTCTAATGTTGGACCATGAGTAATATCAGACTTTCTTTCACCATGCATACTCAAACAAGAATTCCTCATGTACTTCTTATCCATACCCTTGATCACAAGATGGTACAATACTGTGTCTACTTCTTGATGGCAAACATTACGGCAATCGATGCAGGGACAGAAAAGTTCAGTTGGATTCCCTAACCTCCTTGATGCAACAGTAACAAAATTTGTTGCTCCTTTCACATACTCTCGGCTTGCCCTATATGTTTCATCCGATAAAGAGAGTTCATATCACTATATTTTCGACTCAGGCATGTTATTAAAATCATTTAATCAAACAAGACGCAGTATCAACAAGACGCAGTATCAACAAGACTCATACCTTGGAAGCCACACCCATGCCTTGTCCATATCACGACAATAGGACCACAACTCCACCACCAATTATAGATTTTGTGATGATAAATTCAAACAATAATACACTCAACTAACTTTCAATCAAATCAACACATACTTGAAATGAAACAAATTAGTATGAGAATAACAGCTTACAGAGTAAAACAGTCGCCAACAACAAATCCTTGCAGCTTTGAAAACCGTCTCCAAAACAAAATCAACATCATCACTACCTTAAAATTAAAACCCAACACTTTTATATAGTGAAATCGATTAAATCATAAATCTCACATACCTTTCGGTTCTTCCCTAAGTTGAACTGCAAAAACAAGCCAAATCATACAGATAAATTAGAAATCGATTATCAATTGGTTTAATTCCCAAATCTGAAATCAAAGAGAACGAGATTGAGGATTTGAGAAAAGAGATGTCGTGAGAACCAAAGTCGAACAGTCGTGAGTCGAGAGAAAGGGGATTTTTCTGGGTAAAATGTTTTTTTTCTTTTAATCAGGTTTAGTCAATTTTAATTTTGCGGGTCAACAAAAATTTGTTTCGCGATTCACAATTTGATAGCATTTAAATTATGCATATGCTATCGATAAACAAAATATTGAAGCGGGAGACAAACTACATTTTGCCGCTCAACATAAAATAGCGTTTGTTTTAAACAAACGCTATAAAAAAAATGGTCAAAACAAAACTATAGCATATACTACAAAAACGCTATCTTCAACTGCTATTAATACCCGCTTTTCCTGTAGTGCAAACACTATTTTTTTTTTAATTTTCGTATTAAATCTCTTTATTTTATTAGTTATGCTTCTTTATATTTTGTAAATCTAAGTTTTAATTATTTGTTGTGTATCGATAATGTTATTTATTTATTTTGGATAACAGTAACATACATATTTAGAGAATGATTTTACAAAAAATAATGTTTTATTTATTTATCATAATAATAAAACTTGTTTGCAAACCGATGAGTTTCACATAAAAATTTGCACGAACAAGAAGAAATTAACTAATTAGTATTTTACATTCCATCACACTAAAAGAATTAAGAAGCTTGAAATTTATTTGATTATCAGATTCATAGAGTTGACCATCCAAACGTGTTGTATTTTCTCCATTGCACATATTTATATGATAAGAACCCATTCTTCTTTCTTGTAGAGATGCTTGACATCAGAGCTCCTGCAATCAAGTTTTTCAATTCAATACAAAAATAGAAGCAATATGATAAAAAAAAATCGAATAAACTAAAGAGGATCATTAACCACACCACCTATATAATACATTAATCAATGGTTTGAGGGCAGCCATTGCAAGAAGTACAAATCCAAAATTAACCAAAACTCACGAATTGCAGACATAACAGCTTGTTCACAAGAGACCCTAGCAAACTCTTTTTTCAAGTCAAATTACTAAACACGACACACATAATTGAACTTTACTCTTCATTGGCTATTCAAAGAAACTACGAGTGCAGGAGCGACGAGTGCGATGTAAGAGAATACTTGGTGTGGAGTTGTGATCACAGAGTCGCAGCTTGCACCAAATCTTTAACGCCTCTTTCCTGTCTGCTGAACCGCACAAAAGCATATGACCAAAACTACAAACGTTAGAACATAAGACAATAAAATTCACAAGAACAGTTAAGTACGTGGATATAAATCACTCACAGGAAGTAAATCCAAATCTAGCCCCTTCACATCATAACTACTTAAACAGATTCAGAGATATATCAGAAATAACGGACAATATATCAGAAAAAAAGACTAGCAGAGAGAATCCATCGACATGATGCTAATAATAAAGATCTGAACAAATCCGAAAACAAATCGAATTTAATAACAAAGAACAACAACAAACAGATTTGTTAAAGATTCGTGTGGTTTTGTGTATACCTTTGAGCTGATTCTGAAGAGACAAGCTTGTGAGGTCATGGCGGGATGATCTGATTTAAAAATCGCGCTAGAGCTGCCAGTAATCTGAGAGAGAAAGAGGAATATGGTAATTGAATTGAGAGTTTTATATGCAAAAAGCAGTTGAGATTTCAAACTATGAGCACAAATCATGAATCTGTGACAACTTGATCAAATGCAAAGTTGATACTTTTGCTTACCAGCCTTTCATGAACTTCTTCGATGCCAAACCCTTAATGAACAAACTTAAAGTTTGCAGAAAATAGTTAAAGCATAAGATCACAATCCAATTCCAGATCCAAAGCTACTGTTCATTTCACATGAATCTTGAAATGAGAAAACGACTAACCATCGTCTTTGTTGCCGGAATCAGCGAAGCGAATCAAAGTTCTCGATCTCTTTCACGATCGGCCATCACAATCGCCAGCTGCTCGTCTCCCATCGCCGAAAAACTCAAGTCGGGGAAGAAGAAGAAAGAAATATGTAGTGTTTCACGAGTAACCTAATCATCTATTTCACTTCTAATAATTTTTTCACTATAATTTATTTTACTTAATTTCATGAGAGATGTATTGTGATGGAGTACAAATTAGGTGTTATTACCAGAACATAACTTTTTTTAATTACAGTCATATTTTTAATACTCAGTGTGCCTCTACTAAACGTAATTATAGGGAATGCCACTGTCACGTCAGAAATTGATGACGTAGATTAAATGAACTCAGCCGTAACGCGATACAACGGGAGTAATGACTGAGTTACAGTATGTTGCGGCTGACTTATTACAAAAACATATGAACTATAACAAAACGGCGAAGTATGAGTATAACTCAGTCAGACGTTACGTCTGATATATCAAATGTTACCTCAGTTATACTATAACTCAAGCAACGGTATGGCTGAGTTAAGGAATGTTGTCCGAGTTATAAGAAGTTATACGATAACCCAGACAATGTTATGGCTAAGTTATGAGAAAATGGCTGACTTATTTCCTCGACACGGTCGAGTTATATTTTTGGACGGCTTAGTTATAGGATGATGTGACGGCTGAGTTATGGTCGAGTGTTATAAATCAGCCGTAAAGAGCTGGATTACGGTATAACTCAGCCTTGTTACGGCTTATTTATGTGCAAAAGATTAATTATTATAATAGCATGCAGTTACGGCTGAGTTTTTAAACGTTACTGCTGAGTTAGTTGAGTTACGACATAACACGGCTGACTTAACTTAGTTTTTTTCCTGTTTTTTTCCTACGAGTGACTTATAGATTTGCTTGATGGCTGAGTTATGAACTATTCGTTTGGTGGCTTACTTGTCACCTCATCACTTCAAAACGACGTCGGCTGTAATATTCCATGTCAGCATCGTCAACGGAAATACGAAACGTCCCTTGCTTCTTTAACTCGGCCGTCTCCCTTATGTTGCTCCTGATGAAAGAGATGATGGCTTCGAAACTATTCTCCATTTCAAACAGCCTTTTGCTGGAACCGTCATCCACACACGGCCTCTTGTTGGAACCGTCATCCACACACCGCCGCTTATTGGAACCTGATGCATCCATGATCTCGGAAGAGTTTTATTTCTTAGAGATTAGAAGACAAGACAAGAAAGGAAGAGTTCTAGTTGCTAAGAATCGACAAGAGAAAAGACAAGAGGGAACCAGTATATATATAGTCCTCTAACGTCGTTTGGTCCTCTAACGACGTTTGGTTCTCTAACGACATTGGGGTTCTTGACTATTCAGTTGTCGTAAACTGGTGTATGTATAGTCCTACAGTGACGTTTGGTTTCTTTGATGGGAGGGAAGTTTGGGTTTGACAAGTCAACCACCACGTTAGAATAACTCAGCCATCACACGATTTGTGTGATGACAAGTCAGCCACCGCGTTAGAATAACTCAGCTAAACATCGAATTAAACAACGAGAACTCAGCCGTGACGGTATCATAACTCAGCCGTAGCACGAATCGAGCGATGATAAGTCAGTCATTACATTGTTTTTTTGTTATAATTAACATAATAATCGATTCATACAGACATATCAATCCTAAAGTGTCATTATTTAGTACAATCACATGCTAAAAATCCGAAAAGACACAGACATATGTTCGAAAAAGCAAATCACTGCTCAAAAAACCGAATGACCATCCTTGCAGGTGCTTCATTGAAGATCTCTGCTGCCATTCTAATCCGTAGACCCTGAATATTTGAATCAGTAATGCCATCAAAACAAACACCAAGCAATAAACATTTAAGAATCTTTAACGTGTAAACGCCGCAGGCCCCGGTGATAATATTTTGCGTGACCTTTGTCTTGTGCCTCCGTCAGAATGAAAATTGGTCGTATTGCGGGATACGAACTTTGAGAGGAAGAATTTTGCTCATCATCTGTGGAATCATCCTCATGAACGGCCTACAAGCTTCCACGATGTTTCCATCGCTAATCGGAGTATGCTCTCCGACGATGCAATCATAGCAATCGATGTGAGACCTAGGCAAGTTCACGTGAAGGGTCACCCAATGGTTACCTCCGGTTTGGCAGACAAGATACAAGTGATCCACATCTGTTATCCACTTCTTATTTGCCGGGTCTTCCCCAGCCGTACCGTTCATCCAACCTAGATACGGGGTATCTTTGAAAGAAACCCTCTTCGGTTTCATCTTCCACTGTTTGTAATCATTAACCCACATTGACGTGAACCACGGGTCTAGAATCATGACGAGTTCGCTGTGGTATGGGCAGGGATCTCGCAGGAGCCTCTGGGCGGGGACTTTCATGTACGCAGCAATATGTTGTACTAAAATAAAACCAAGACAAAACACAACATTAACTCAGCCGTAACCAAGTAAAACTCAGCCTCAACACCTAAATAAATCAGCCATTATATACTTTGACTCAGGCTGAATGACACGATAACTCAGCCATAACGTTAGACAAACTCAGACAGAATATAACAATTACTTACATCGTAAATCAGCCATTATCTACTTTAACTCAGGTAGAACGACACGATAACTCAGCCATAACATTAGACAAACTCAGACAAAATATAACAATAACTTACATCATCACCCAGCCATCCATATTTGGGTTCTGGCCAGTTCTTTCTTTCGGCCATGATAACAGAGTAGAAATCCACCTCGTCTATCCCACTTTCCAACGTTTTTTGCTAACAAATAGTAGTGAAAGTTAATATACACAAATAGTGTAAGCATGTCGTATTTAACAACTTATTAAGGTATAAAGGGCCATACCAGTCGAGACTTGATAAATAAGCCTTAAGTTTCCGCACTTTGGCCGGATCAACCGGTGCTAGAGGATCATAGATTGCTCGTGAAGGCAGACAACCCTTCCTCATGCAGCTCAGCCCGTTGTCTCCAATTACTGGAAAAGTGTTAGTGGTCATTAGATCGGGTTTAATCATTGACCTCCCATCCGGGGCCAGCTTAACAGTTTTTCTCCTCGCATCTTTTACTCTCTATAGCCTCTCGGTTTCCTCCTCATCTTCATCAGACTCAGGAAGCATTTGATTATACTCAGATATAACCTGGTCAATAACATCAAGTATAGAATCATCATCATCAGCTACCCTCTCACCGTCAGCTTTTTCCTTGGCTTCCTCAGGCTTATTCTTGGGGACAGAAGAAGTATCACCGTCAGCTTTTTCCTTAGCTTCCTTAAGGTGATTTTGGGGTTTTTATTGTAATCTTTGGCCCCTTTGGAGGCACCTTTTTAGGCTCCTTTGTAGCAGCCTTTCTTCCTCTCTCCCTGGCGGTTTCTCGATTAGCTCATTTAATGTTTTCTCCTTAACATTACCTTTCTACTTAGGTGATAGCTTCGCTTTGGAAGAGCGTAAACGACGGTTGAGAAGAGACGTCTCAATGAAATCAATATCAGAAACGATGGAGGCCTTAGCAATTTCTCCATTAAGATTCCTACTTACCCCAACCTCAGCAATATCTGCATCATTCTCTACCGCTACAGCTTGTTTTGACTGCATAAACGTAACGAAAACTCAGGCGTTAGATATCGAAAACTCATACCTATTTATAAATATAACTCAAACATAACTAACTAAAAGTTATAACTTAGCCGTATAATATGAAGATCACTCAGCCATAACTAACTAAAAGTTATAACTCAGTCGTATAATATGAAGATAACTCAGCCATAACTAAATAAAGGTTATAACTCGGTCGTATAATATGAAGATAAGTCAGTCGTAACTAAATAAAAGTAATAACTCAGCGATTAGCTTACTGGAGGAGGACTAGTAGCAGATTGGTTATTTGTAGGTTTGTTTGGACCTTCTGGTGTCTGTTGGGTTTGGGGCTTAGGGTAGCCTAGCTGTGTTTTGGGTAAAAACATAGCTCTAATATAACTAGTAGTGTTTAATTCTGACTAAGCTATGCCCTTCAGATGCTCTTTAATCTGTTTGACCTCGTTCTCAATAGATGCAAACCTTTTTCAAACTTTGCATCAATCCTCGATTCTACTTGAACTCCAATCACATCCAGACGGGAGGACATTCCTTTGATGCTATTATCAACGGTGTCAAACCTTGAGTTTAAGGGAGAGATCAAGTTGGACACCACATCCACGAGCGACTGCTGTTCTCCCTGAACATCCTGCTCGTCCTCGTCCTCATCAGTTTCGACAGCTACTTCCTTCTTTTTATTCTTCTTCTTCTTTTGTGCATCTTTCTCACGAGAATAAAGACCCTCACTGTGAGAGACTTTCTGCTTCTTTGCGCTACAAGAAAATTGCCATTTACCGACTTCAGTATTACGACTACCTTAGTCGCTCACGAGAATGAACACCCTCACTGTAGTCGTTAAACACCTCTTTACGACAAATAAACGACTATTAAATTTAGTCGCTAATCGAGAGTCGGTAAATAACGTAGTCGTATTTTAGTCGTCAATGAGCGACTAAGTTACGACTAAGTTCAAGTAAACGCTTTTTTAGTGACATTTTGGTCGTTAAATTTAGAGACTATTAGACGACAAATTAACGATTAACTTGAGGGTTATGTAGTCGTTGTAGGTAATTAGTCATTAAAATTTACGACTAAAATGTCACTATATTTAAGACTGATTTACGACTGAAATATCATTTAGTCGGAAATTTTAGTGACTGAATTGTTATCAAAAACCGACTGCTTGGTTACATTTTTGATGACTAAATTTGCGACTATTGTTGTTATTAGAATACCTATATGATTGTTCTAAAGATGGAAACCTTCCTGAGAAAATAAAACATTACAAGAAGCATAAACACAATACAAGAAGCATGAAAACAAATTTATTGTCATTTCAAAAAAGTACAAAACCCAAATTACAAAAACATGTTCGATTCACTACAACTTAGAACTTTGTTCAGCATAAGTACAAGCAACACAAGTACACATATATAACAACTTTGAACCGTGATATTGAGTCTTGAGGAAGGAGTTAAGATTCAGACCTATGAAGCAGATGAAGAGGGAGAGGCAGCTGGAGAGGGTGAGATAGGATCTGTGGTTGTCTCCTTAGCTGGAGGAGATTCGAGGAAATTGAGGAACCGAGGATCATTTTCGCGTAAAAACTTCTCCACTAAGGACAAGTGCTCAAGCTTCTTCTTCTGCTCATCTGCAGCTCGGGAATTCTCAGCTTCACGCAAAGCAATCTCAGATTCACGCCTCTGATTGTAAGAGACCTGCTCTTCTATCTTGCGTTGAGCTTCAAGTAATTGTTCTTGCAAAGCCACAAAAGAAGTTGAGTCACCTACTTGCTTCCGCTTGCCATTGACAAGAGACTCTTTGAGGCTTCCTACTCCATAAGGAACGCCTCTCGAATCCCTCTCAGTGGACTACAAAGTATGATAAAAGCTGAGATTAGAGAATGAAAAAGATAACTCGAAAACACTAAATTGGGAAACATAAAACGTTACCTCAAGAAATATGGTTGTACATTCCTCAGCTGTGAGCTCCCGTGCCCGCGAAGTGCCATCTGAAACAGCAGAAGCTTCAGCCTCGAGCTCAGACTGCCTCAGTTGCAAATTCTTCTAATATAACTCTGCAATCTTCTCCGCCTTTCGATCAACATACGTCCCATCAGGTTTTGTATGTGTTTTGATGAAAACGTCACCAATACTGACAGTTTTGCCTAATTGCTCTTCCTGTAATGAAAAAAAAAAACAAGTCATAGAAAAGTAGAGAAACATCAGATTAAAGTTGCAAAGGAGTAAACAGAGAGAAGACTTACCAATTCATCTCGGATTTGATGATATGACTTAGACCCTGAGAAGTGTATGTGAGGACCTAGACCGTTACGGTCAGACATACGGGCATTTGAATAGATTTGACTTCTTTCTTGAGCTTCTTTAGTGTCCCAGTACGCAGTCATTTCCTTCCATAAAGTTTTTCCGATCCATTTAGGTTTCTTTCGACTAGTTCTTACAGTGCTAACCATGCCTTTCATTCGCCTTAAACAGATCTCGTTGAAGTAAAACTAAACAGTCCCTGTGATCAAAGGATCCCAATGGTGTGTTTTCTACAAATAGAAAAGGTAATGTCAGTAAAAAAAAGAAGTGTAATCATATATATAAGAAGGGCTGAAAGAACACTTAACAGCAAACTCGAGGAAGTATTTCTCTTGTCTCTCTTGAGGCACACATGTCCAGCTGTAGAAGGGACCATCAAATTTGTTTGTAAACACTCTAGTGATATTCTTAACAAGTCGTGAGTTTGTGTCCCGAGTAAACCTCCATACACAAGAAAAACAAGCAGTTATTATATGGCAGAAAATATCTAAATATCAGACCAAAGACTAGCAAAACATAAATTGTGGCTGCAAAGTATCATACAAACAGATCATATAGAGCAGAACATAGATTGTGGCTGCAAAGTATCATCTAGAACTAAACTTACACAATGACAGACACGATACGTTGCAGCCACAAGCAGTTGTTCTCGCAAACAACAAGTAGAGACCTAGACAACACGACTCTTCAAACACATTGCAATAGATTGTGGCTGCAAAGTAACATCTAAATATCAAAGACCAAAGACCAACACAACACGAGACTAAAACGAGAAACAATTCAGACATTTTCTCAATCTAATCAATCTCACAAAGCTCATTACCCAACTAAACCCTAAGATCAAAACACAACTTAAACTACTTGTTCTCGCAAACAACAAAATAAGACCAACACAACAAGACTCTTTAAACAACAAAATAGATTGTGGCTGCAAAGTAACAACTATAATATCAAAGACTTTCAGACTTTTAGACCAACACAACACGAAACACAACAAATAAACAATTCAGACATTTTCTCAATCTAATCAATCTCACAAGGCTCATTACTCAACTAAACCGACATTGAACACAACATGGGATCACAAACAAGAGAAGAAGAAGATCATACCATGTCGTATTCGGTCGAGGAATGGGAGAGAGGACGGTGACGAACTTATCCCTCTCCGGCAACATAAGCAGATCATTTAGGGATTGAAGTGTGTCCTCCTGGAGATCCGGTGACAGAGGTGGATATTCTTCGAAGTTGTTGCCTTGAGAGGATGGGTGACTGTGAGCTCGAGACTCTTGAACTAGAGAAGGCGGAGGGTCTTGCTGAGAAGGCGGAGGGTCTTGTTGAGGAGTCGGAGGAACCTGCTGAGTAGTCGCGGCTTGAGTCGCTGGATTGTTCTGCACTTCTACTGAGGCAGTCCTTTGCACTTCAGGTTGTCGACTGCCAGAGTGCTGAAACAACTGTAGAGGCGGCGGATAGTTCTGAACAGGAGCTGCCGTTGACTGTAAAGGAGGAACGGAGGCTTCTGTTGTAGGCGTCTCTAGCTTAGGAGACTGTTCTGCTGCCGGCGTGAAATCGTACTGAGACGGAAGAGAACGAGGTCGTCGACCAGCCGTGGATGTGGAGGCTCTCTGAGCAAGGATAGGACTGGTTCGCTTCTTTTTTCCTCGCCCAAACATTGTGTGAAGGAGAGATCTAGATGAGACAGAGGTTCAAATCAAAGAAATCGAAGAAGAAGAAGAGATTAAGAGGAAAACAAAGAGGAATCTTCGATTTGCTAGGGTTTTGAAGAGGAAATCGAAGAGGAAATCGAAGAGAGAAATTGAAGAAGAAGACTGCGGATGTTTCGAAGAGAGAAAGATATTTTTGTTAGGGTTTTCGCATAACAAGTGAATGGTTTGGGCCTAAAGGGTTTGAGCCTAAAAGGTTCAGTTTGTTTAAACATTAGTCGCTTAATTGTCACAAATTAGTCACCAATTTTGGGCCTCGAAATTTTTGGCCCAATAATATTGTTGTAGTCGCTAAATTATCACAAATTAGTCGCCGTAGTTGGGCCTCGAGTTATTTTGGCCCAATAGAATGGTTATAGTCGCGAAAATGTCAGCAATTAGTCGCTTTGTTTAATTTTTAATAATTGGGTTTGGGCCTTGTGTTTTTTCGGGTCTTAGATATTCAAAAATAGTAATTATATATATAAATATAATTAAACATAACATACTTAGTCAATATAGTTTTTCAAAATAATTTAAAATTGTTTGCATAACTTTTGAAAATAACTTAAGTACATATC